CATTATACTGATTGATCTTCATACGGGAGTGATGTCTAGGCTGGATTTAGTGAGGTGTTTAAAGTGAGATTTCCAAATAGTATACTTTATATACCAAACAGACCCTCCCTTCGATATGATCCTACCTGGTTACTCCTTACTTGATAGATCTTGATGTATACATTGAGATTATTGAGGAATCTATACTATCATTAAATAGTCGTTAGAAATTATGAAACTAGACTAAGGCTTAGTGCTTTATACGTCTAAGTCTCTTTAGAAGTGCAAAACGAAGCGCTGCCGAAAATCGCCAGTCACCCATTTCATCAAGTGAGTGCATAGTCGCTTTCATGAAAGTGATTTAATAAAAATATTAATTAAGGTATTAAATACTTTTTGGAAGTCGTATGTGAATTATATGCTTATTACATGGATTATATGTTAAGATATATGTATATATGTATGTGTGTGTGTCTATATATATATATATATATATATATATATATATATATATATATATATATATACCGTGTTATGCGCGGACCATATATGGTTCTATTTTATGTTAGAATAAATAGATAAAAATATATAATAATATTATAAGTAGCATTGTTGAGAAGACAAACGAATAATAATACCTAATACTTTGTATGGAATATATATACATACACACACTAAGGATAGGTTAGTGTCACCCAAGAATAGAGTTGGTATTAGAAGTTGGTTACAGGCACTTTAATCTAGTCTAGGGATGAACTTAGACTTAAGGAATATGCCTCGTTCAATTAAGTTTGATATTGGTTAGCCTCATTAGGAGAATGTGTGTAAGCTAGGAACGGAGAGTAAAGTTCTGTTCTGTGACACTCGCAGGTATCGATGTACGATAGCTCCGTACGAGAGTACGCTATAGTACTCCCCTTGGATGACCAGAAATGGTGGGTCTAGATCAAGAAACTGTAACAATATGTTTGGTCACTCCAAGAGTAGGTGATAACACTTGATCATTCTAGATAGTCTTGTGAATTACGTTGGTGGCGTGAGCTCATTACTCACAGATGTAGATGAAATGGGATACCATATTCATCAAATACTCTGATGACCCATATGCCTTTATGACTGCACTGGCCAAGGAAGCCCCTAGCTAAGTAGCCAAGCTTTTAACTGTTCATCAGGATAGATAACTTCTCCCTGATAATCTTTGAGGATCGATAGGAATGAATATGTAGGAATGTAAGCCTATATGGATGTTGTATGGTAAGTTGGTAACGGTTGATTTTTCATGTTTGACAATTAAGGAATATTATCATAACAATATTGTGGATTGAAATCCCTATGCATATCACCACGTTCCCCAACCCGACACACTCAGTTTGTATGCATCACATGTATCAAGACTTAAGCTACTGGAACTTGATTAGGAATATGAGTGAGTAAGAGACAGCCTATAATAGAGTTCATGATCATTAGGTCTTTACGTTGTTACTTATGTTTCTATATCGATTATGACATCCTTGAGGTTTTATTAAATTGAGACAATCAATTGTACTAAAAAAGTTCCAAATATATTGGGAAATTTTACATCATTGATAATGCAAGCGTAAAGAAAAATTTTAATTGACTCTGAAAATTTGAGGATGTCACAATCACATATTCTGTCTATTGGTAATGGAGTATAATCATTAGTGGAAAAAAGGTTTTACAAGAAACAGAAGGCATTCATGAGTTCATAAGCATCTTGAATTTGAAATCAATGGTTATTTGAAGATATAAAGATCCAAGAGGAAATGTAACTTACATAGTAAATGTATTTCACTTAATTTCGGTGTAATAAAGCTTATGTTTCTTCTATTTTGGAATAAATTTAATATGTTTTCTTAATTTGTAGATTTTGGCTATGTTTACATATGATAACGAATTCGACGACGTCTTGTATTGGTTAAATAAACCATTTGATAGGATAAATGAAGTAAAATGGAGGTATAAGGTATATACATGGATCATTCGCGGAATAAAAGATCTTTACAACTCTTAACAAAATGTAAGGATATGTTTTAATCACTTTATTGAATGGTGCCAATTTACACAATGTATCTTCAAATGTGGATTATGATAGTAAAACACAACTATATGGTCATATTGATTGACACACGAAGATGTCATTCAAGAGGAGGTTGTTAAGTATCGAATGCATGATCCTATAGCTAAATGGAATAAGATGAAGCCCATGGTTATTGACATGTTTGATTCGCCTGCCCAATTGAAGTTTTGCTTAATAAACTGGTATGTGGCTATATTGGTTATCAACTATATTCGAGAAGTGTGGAAATATTAGGATTGTTGCTAGATGTGGTTGCTTCAAAACTCACCCCACATTCTCTCACCATCCAAGCTTCCTAACCCATTTTATCTTCTTCAATCACCTATTTCACCATGTTTACTTCAAAACTCACCCTTATGGATTACGATGCCCATTTGGCATTATATTCGAAATCCCATAATGAAACATCAAAACTCTACACCATAATGATTAAATTTGAAAAATATTTAATTCAACTTAATCAAGAAGAAATAAGAACAAATGTTGATGCATTAAAGGGTGAACCACTTAGTCAAATTAGGGATTTAACTATAAGAAAAGAATCACATGGATGATGTTCTTTCAAGCGATGGTGAATATAAGAGTGATATGTGCATATTTATTCATATATTTTATGCATTTTCTTAATATTTTTAGCTACAATTATGCTTATTATAGGACAAAAGGTACTTAATTTGTTTAAATTTTGTTTTGTAGCAGTGAAGACGTGCTCGGGATGAAAAGGAAGCAATTATAGAGTTGGAAGCTAGAATATTGGACCAAGTCAATCGAAGTCAAAGAAATCAAAAAATCTAAAGCCCACGCCATGGAGATCCCTAGCCACACTGTGGTGAGTTGGTTTTTCACGATCTGATATATGCCTTGGTGAATACGCGTTTTAAGTGGTCGCCACGTCGTGGAGCCTATTTTCCACGACATGGGAGGTGATTTTTGGCAACTATATATTGATTATTTTGGCTCTCAACCCTAACTTATGCTGGAAGCTATTGATGACTTTTGAAGACTGGAAACATCCCTTGGAGGTTTTGGAGTTCAGAATTTGTTTGAAGCTTGATTTTGAGGAGATCTAAAGGAGACATTACTTCTAATTACTCTATTGCTTTGTTTTAATCATGTATATCAAAGTGATTTTCGTTTTTACTTGTTTGTTTCCAGTAGTTATGGGCTAAAAAACCCTAACTTTCGTTTAGAGTAGATGATCTCGCATACTATATGTTGATTAAGTGGATTTGGATTATAGTTAATTGCTTATTTATTATGGTTGCTTGTTAAAAGAACATTTTATATTACGGACAACTTCTTTTTTGTTTATTGATGAGTTTAATTGAGATTTGATGAACTATCTTTCTTAGTTAACTTGAATCTTATGATTTTGTGAGTAACAAAGTTATAGGACTAGTGTTTTGATCAAAAACCTAGGATTAAGTAGAAAAGTTGGTAAATTGATATGAGAGATAATATATGAAGAAAAATCATGTATTGATTTGATATTTGAAACCACTTATATCAATCAAAATTACAAGTCTTCCTTAATTCAAACTTCACACTAGCTTACTTGTTTATTTGTTCACTTGATCACTGAATGAATGAATTAGTTTAGCTAAAGGATTAGTCTTTTGATCATAATTCTAATCAATCTAGGAATTAGTGAACAATAACACTATAATCCATTGCACTTCCCACAAAATCAACCATAGGAGCATGTGAATCGTATCTAAACGAAAGTCTCTTTGATATCTTGATTTAAAAACCTTTTTCTTGTTTCTTATTTAGTTTAAAGTGCTTCTTGTTAATTTCTTTTAAGTTTCTAGAGTTACAAAACTAGAAAAACCTCCTTTTATTCACTCTTTAGATAACTTTAGTAGGCAATTTTATCTGTTATTTCCGTTCCTTGTGTTCGATACCCGACTTACCTGAACTATTCTATTAATCGATTAGGTACACTGCCTATCGCGTATTAGTTAATCTAGATTAGTTGGTTTTAAAACTAGTACTTAAAATACACATCAAATAGGCATCATGAGGTTTATGTTTCTTTTTATTAGAAAATGTAATGTTTCATAGATTATCCAAGTGCCCAACAAATTTTTTTTAGCATTACTTGTCTTTTACATGTCATTTAGTATATGTTTAATGCTTTTGGTAATATTACATGTCTTTTACAACGTATACATTGTCATTACAACAACCAAAGTTCATTAGCATTACCTTTACATGTATCCAAGTACATTGTTATTTCCAATCAAACAAGTAAACCATATTATCATACCTTTTAATCATTGAAAAGTACATTTCCGTTTCAATTATATGAAAGAAAGTACATTTCCTTTACATTTAGTACACTTCCATTACATTTTTCATCAGTTAAAAATTTTTAAAACAATACTACCTCGTAACAAAACTACATAATAAGTCCATTGCATTGCCCAAGACAATTGTTATCAAAATCATTAAGGTAAAAACACCAAAAATAATATTCCTTGTAACAAACCAACCATATGCTTCTGTGAGTCAATTTTCTTTGATTTCTTACTTTTTCTATCTTGAAAAACTTGCAATTCCGTCTTGAACTATGCCAAGAAACATATATAATTTTACAATAATGTCCTTTTAACTTTTAGAAGTTACAATTTCATTACCTACAAATTAAGACAATGCCAAAATTTCCGCCATGGGTTATCATCTATGCATTAAATTGAATTTAGGCATTCATCTTCGTACTTGCATTTAACTATGTTAATATTTTTGCATCTACAAGAGAGATTAGAACTCGATTCCGTTGAAGAAGACGACATATCACGTTCAACTTCCTTCCTCTTAAGTACATATATATACATATGCATGTCTATATGACATCCAATCACCAATTTCTATCCTAATATGTAACTCCATTTGCATCCACGTCACCAATTTCTAGCTGTATATGAAAGGTCGTCAACTGAGTGCCTGGTAAGATGTTAAATGCTAGGACTAAGCATGAGTTAGTATTGGGATAAAAACGAATGCAAACCGATAAGTTTGGTATTTGTGTTTTGAAACTCATTGGGTTTGGTTTTTGGATGGGTTAGGTTTTTGGTTTTGTGGATCGGTTCTTTGGGTTGGGTTGATGAGTTTTGTGGGTCGTTTTTTCATAAGTTTAGGTCAGCTTCTGTTCGTTTTTAAAACCATTGGGTTAGTTTTAATGTGAAAACCAACCCAAACCGAATTTTTTGGTCTTGAAAAATCTAAACCCAAAACTTATGGTTTAGGTTTGGGTTTGGGTTCGATTTCAATTTCTCAATTTCGATTTTATTTGTTTTTATCGGTTTTGGTTTTGGTTTTGCTAAGCCCTACTAAACGCCTTATTAAAAAACTTCTACTAAGTTTTTGAGTTTTAGGGTATGTTTGGGTTAATTTTTTTATCACAAAAGTATTTTTATGGCTTTTTGGAAAAACAGTTTTTAAGAAGTATTTAAGATAACTTTTGTGATAGAAAAAACTGAAAAACCAATAAGTTAGTTTTAAAAAATATTTGACTTAGTTTTTTACGGGTAAAAAACTAAGTTAAAAAAAAAAAAAAAAAATTTATGAATAGCTTAAAAGCTAGGATTCTCTAGCTTTTGGAAAGTTCTATATTTTGCATATGTTAAAAGGTCTAAAAAATTGTTTCAAAAGCTATTTTTAAATACCAAACTCTTTTTTAGCTTATTATTAGATTTTCAAAAAACTAATTTAAAACAAAAACATAATTTCTTCCTGGTGTGTAGCGACCGAAACCATCCATTTCTCGAGCAAGGAAAGTGTGAAAATATGGTGAACTTCATGTTGTATATCAGCGCGGACCTCGAGAATCTCACAAACTTTCAGCCTGCAGGCGGTGTCGATGATCCTAACTTCACCTACTACTTCAAGGTTTTCTCATTTTTCATTTTCATGGAGTTTCGCATCATGTATCATCGATTCTTCGTTACTCGAGTATCCCGATTCCTTATGTTTCTGTGATTCGCTTTTTACAACTTTAATTCTTGCTGAAATCTGCGAATCATTTTTGTTTGAGTTTGTTTGTAGCGGTTGGCATATTTAATCTATCTGTTTGATCTATTCTGTTTTGCAATTAGGGTTTCAAAACATTTTCGCAGTTTGTCTTATTCGTTTGATTAAGTTTTTGTGGCTTTAAATCGATCTGTTTAAACGATCGAGTGATTATCGATCCATTAACTTTAATTCAACGTACAAGTAAACTTGTTAACATTATTAATCAATTCGTAATGCATCTTCACCTGATTTTGGTTGGCCTTTAACTCCATCATAGTATCAGATTCTGTTTTGATCAAGTGTAAACGAAAATTGCTGCCTTTTTTGGTGATAATGAGCAACCTTATTGATGTTTTTTGTGTATCCAAATGGTTTGATACTCCCAACAGTTTCTTGTCTTTTTCACAATCCAAATTTTTTCTCCAAACAACTTGTTAATTATACCAATCTTTCTGATACAAATCAACTCTCACAATTGTTCACGTTCAAACAATATCTTCTTCCACTTGGCTTAATTATAGCTAATTTTGAAGTTTGTTTATGATATAGCTTCATCTTTCAAGAGTTATAGCTATTGTATTTCAGTATCTTGCATGTTTGTTCATGTCTAATTTTCAATTATCACATCTTTCCTTGTGGTGTGCAGTTGAAATGTGAAAACTGTGGTGAGGTGACTGAGAAGGAGACATGTGTCAGTCTGAATGAGACACTTCCTCTACCAAAAAAGGGTACCACTAATCTTATCCAAAAGGTTATATATCATTATCATCTCTTTACATTTAAATCAAATTCAAAGTGATACCATTTTGAAAGAAACTAAGTGGCGTAGTTTATTATTCATGGTGTATTAGTGTAAGTTCTGTAAAAGGGAAGGAACAGTGACAATGATACCTGGTCGAGGATCTCCACTCACTAATGAGTTGAGTGAGGGAGGAAAACATGCTGCTTTGATGGTATTTGACTGTAGGGGTTTTGAGCCTTTGGATTTTGCATTCAGTAGTGGCTGGAAAGCTGAATCTGTAAGTCCTAAAAGTATTTTATATATACTTTTTTTTTTTTTTAAATATTTCATCATATGATTTTATAAATTTTTCTTTGTATAGATTGAAGGAACAAAATTTGAGGATATTGATCTGTCTGGAGGGGATTTTTCTGAGTATGATGAGAAGGGCGCGTGTCCAGTCATGATCTCTAATGTGGCTGCTATGTTCAAAGTCGTTGACTTGAGTAAGAAAAATCTATAAATAATATATTATTATAATCATTATGTAGATTATTACATGATCTACTGTTGGGGTGGAACTTGTGGTTTTTGTTTTATGCTTTTATTTATGTATCGACTGTTGAAACTAGTGGTATGCATAATGGAAGATCTATGCAAGGTTGGATTCAGGGAATTTAAGGTTTTAAATTAAAATTAAGCACATTTGGTCAAAATTTAGGTTTCATTGAAGCATAAATGTTTGCCTAATTAAACAAAGAACGAAAATAACTACCACTTTTCCTCTTAATATCTTCACTTTTCTTTAAAATGAGTTCATAGTGTTTGTCAAACATGACATAGAGATATTGTATGGGAGACTATATGTATTATGTTGCAATTTGCATGCATGAGACATTGTGGCATGACTGATCGATCGTGTTGATTTCATATATTCCATGATATCTGATTATGAATTGTCAAATGCATATCACATGGGTTGTGAGTTGAGCGTTAAACATGGGTCATGTTGTTGTGGTGGGATTCTTGAGAGATGTTAATGTGAGTTCGTGTTGATCATGTCTACATGATGCTATCATGCTATTGTACACCCTTTGACTTGGAAAATTTCTAAAGTTAATATAATATGTTCTTTGATGGAAACCATAAGAAATTATAGATGCAAAGTTGAACACCATTATAATTTGGTTAGATTAAACCAAATCAATTAAGGCGGTTAACAAAAAAGAAAAAATATATATATAGTTATCAAAATGCATTTTGAATTTTTAATGCTTTAAGTGAGCAAATTATAAAATATTATAATATTGAAAGTGAGAAAAAACAGTAAAATGCAAAATAAATAAATAAATAATGTTTTTAGATTTTGTAGTTTGCCCTGAACACTACCTCCGCGCGATTCACTGTTACTTCTAGGGATGAGCATTTGGACCGGGGATCCGGTCGGAACCGGTACCGGAACCGGATAGAACCGATCGCGCCGGGACCGGGACGATATTCTTGTGAATTTTTGGAACCGGCAAACATCGGAACCGTATGTTGCTATTTCTCGAGGACCGGTTCCAACATTGAAGACACGGCAAGAACCGGGAGAACCGGAACCGATAGAACCGGCGGTCCGGTTTGGTTCTTAATTTCGTCTGACTTCGGTTCCCGGGCGGGGCCCGGTTCGGGCCGGTTCCAGCCGAGTCGATTCCTTTGCTCATCCTTAGTTACTTCTCCACTCTCGGCTCACCTGTGGATAGATTTCGTTTGTTTCTAGTTATGGTCCTCCACGCCACCTTTTTTTTCAAAATATAAAAGGTTGATTAATTGTAATATGTTGACACCTTATTTTTTTCAAAATATAAAAGGTTGATTAATTGTAATATGTTGACAAGTTCTTTAAAAAAAGTTATGTTTGATCATTGGTATTAAAATTAATGGAATAGTTAACTTGGATGGTATTATTAACAACTCGTGCCGATAACCAACCTATTTCAACATGTTAATTTTGTCACTTCAACCAGTTTTGGACGCACATGGGTTTGAATTATGGATTCACTATTGTATGTGTGGTGTGGACATTTCAAGTAGAGGTTGTTGTTGTTGTAGAAGTTGTGGACAACGAAATGGGAAGTGAAGTCGGTATTTGATTCGAAATCATTTTTCCAACAATAACTCATTTTTCAGAATCTTTTGAAGATCCAACACCTCCACATCCTTTATCTCCCCCTTGTGACACTTGCACTGCACGTGGAACATTCGTTGGTAATCGAAGAACCAACTCAAGGATGGGAGCAAGCTCTGCTTTGATATTTGTCTCAATGGTCGAAATCAGTTGAGAAATTGACTCTTGAGAAACTGATGATTGATTCAAAAGATCAGCTTTCGAAATTGATTCCTTGATACTGGATAAGAATTCTTCCAGCTTTGCGAACACCTGGGAATCCTTCTCCGACTTTGCTTCAAGCTTGGTCGAATAGTCAGTATTGAATTCAACCAACTTTGTGATAGTAGTTGCAACAACATCAACTTTGCTATGAAACAAAGTATAATTCTTCTCAACTTCTTTGGCCATCTCTGATTTGAGTTCAGCCACCTTAAGATCCACATACTCTTTCATCTTCGTCACTTGTTCAACAAAAATATCATGTCGCTCATTTGCAACATCACGAAGCTTCTGAATTTCGTAATCAAAGCTTTTGGAATGAACATTCAACCTTTCTACTTGTTTATGTTAAAGGCTTTCAACCAAGCTTCGAAAACGATTCTCCTGAGATTTCAACAAATACTCCATTTCTACCCCAGTAACGAAACTCCTTCCCCCAGTATCTGCTTGTAGTTGAAGAAGGGAATTTATTTTGGAGTTGAGGATTTTGAACTGTTTACCTGACATGATCATGTCATCATGAACATTATCCTCCTCGGGATCGAATTGAAGATCAGCAAAAGACACCATGATCTCATCGTCATTTGGTTCGTCTTCTTGAATCACTCTCTCAGCTTCAGTAGATTGAGGGTGATAATTGGTTCATGCATGATCGTGGAGTATGTTGGTGAAATGGTTGAAACTGGTAGGGAAGTTGGGATGGGTGATGAAATTGGTGGTAAAGTAGAACTTTCGATTGTAGATGAGATAATGGTTGAAGTGGGAATGGTTGATGTTTCAATATTAGAAGTAACAGAGGATTCATTGTTTTGCACCCCTTCACCCATATTGACATTTGTGTCCTTATCAGATAAGTCCACAAGGATGTTTAGAGTTCAAACCTCCTCCGTATTGGATTCAGTATGCGAAACCCCAGGTGGTATGACCTTAGTCTTCTCAGGGATGGATGTAGTTGTTTGATCATTTGAATTGATGTTTGTATCCGTATTAGATACGTTCACAGTGACATCAGGATCTCTTGTCTCCTCAAAATTCAACTTGAGAGGAGAATCCCCTTGAGGTGACCCATGCCCAAAATCATCATGTCGAATATCCGATCTTCAACTATCATTGTCATTATCAGTTTCGACAGTGACATGATCAAGCGGATCCCGATGCTTACTTTTCTTTTGTTGCAACTTCTGAGCCATATCCAAGGCTTGACGTTTCTTTGAGGCAGGTGAGACCGAAACAGTTACTTATCGAAACAAATACACCTCTCCTGTTGAACTGAGGCTTTCGAATCTTCTTGATACCCTTCTGAGAAGAATGAGTATGTGAAGAATCAACATGCATTTGCTAAGTTGCCTCGATTTCGGATTCTTGAACAGATTGTCTGACTGGAGAATCACAAGGTCTCTTTGCAGGTTTTTTGGTACGCTTGAGAATGCCGGTTTTCGAAGGAACAATTTCTTTTGAAACCTCCTCCACCACAGTTGGTGGTTTCTTAGCTTGCTTCTTCTTCTTTGAAACTTTAGCGGCTTTCGAAGAACCCAAAGCCCCTTTCGATGGAAGAACACCAATAGAAACACTATAGTCAATTAACGCCAAGTACTGTACAAGAAGTGGATTCTGCGGATCAACATGCCTGAGCATCGCATCTGGAATACGAGCAACAGTAGGAAATATGGATGGATCATCAACAACAATTCTTGGAGCATCCATAGTCGAAAACTCTGCAGTTTCAACACCAGAAGGAACCAAAATCCCCTCTTGTTGATAAACCTCCTTCAGAATCAAACTCCAATAACGAGCACACGAAACACCATTTGACAGATTTGTGTGAGTAATTGTTGTTCCAAATTTCTCCCAGAGATGGGTGGTATAATCCACATCTAGACCATAGTAAAGCCCAACAATAATGGAATAGATTTCCAATTTGGCTTTGCCTAACCATGAACTTCGAGCTGTCAAGCATCGTAATACGATTCCAAAAAGAAAACTCCATATGCAGGGGAAGACTCGACTTTTTAAAGTGACTTATTCCAGTCAGATCTGGTTGATTCCCCATCTCATTGACCATGTGAAGAACTTGATCATTAGTAACTTCATAGAAAGTACCTGAGACCGGTAACTTCATGATTTGGGAAAAATGATTCATCGTAAGCTTTCTTGTTTTTGAATTCGTCAATTGAAACGTGACGACCTTCGTGGTTTTGTTAAAAATCGTTGTAGAACCAGCAAGAGAAATCCAAGACATTTGACATGTAGATGTTAAGGAACTTCATACGTACATGACTACAAACTGTAGGTATGAATGAATTATTCATGAGGGTACTCTATTCACCCCATGATTCCTTTATTAACACATATTGCTAAGGAATCCCCAAAGCAATATTATTGACTTAGAGATCCTCTAGGATAGATCCTTTGAGAGTATCAGTTAGGATCAGGAAGTGAGAATAACGGGAATACACGATTGAGATAGTTGTTTGATGCAAATTATATAACAAATTAATATTGTGGGTTGAAAACCTATGTACTCACCAGGTTTCCTAACCTGACCTACTCAGTTTCTTTGTATCAGAGGTATCGATACGAAGGTATTTGATGTTTGGATCTAATGAGAGATTAAAGGAAATGTAAACCATTAGATATTGTAAGGCCAATAATAATTACATTTATGCTTATGTTTCTTGTATCGGTTATGACATCCCGAATTTTAATAATAAATGAAAAACAATTCTTCGTAAATACTTTTTATGGGAAAAATTCAACATTTATAAATAAACTTTGTTTTAAAATAAGCATAAATAAAAAGGTCTTTTCTGACCGTAAAAATGAGGATGTCACATATGGAAAACATATTCTCTTTCCACTTAGAAAGTTTCTTTCAAAACCTATCAAATATCACTTGTCACCCTTACATCCTAGCAATATTTGCACCAACAAGGATACCCATATAGGTAAAATGAAGTTTGTCAAGAGAACATACTAAGAATTTGACATAATGTCTAACAACATCAAACTCCATCCTCACCCCATACAAATTTAATTTGTGAAGATTCATCCTCAACCCCAAAACAAAATAAAAACAATTCAACACCGCCATAATATTAACAATATTATTGTTTGACCATTCTCCCATCAATAAAACATCATATGTGTATATATATCAAAAATAAAAAGGTTATGCTTATCCAACTTGGCTCCCCTAAATAAACCCACAACAACTACGTATTTAATGGCTACATGAAGATCCTCCATGGCAAGAATAAAGATAAAATAAGAGAGATGATCTCCCTGATGTAAGCCCCGCTCTAGCATAATCATGTGTAAAGCCTTGGCCGAAACCATCAAGCCCTTATCCTCCCAAGCCACTTTTCACCAAATCTCAGGAACTATATAATCTGAAGCAAATAATCATAGTTAAGAGAATCTTAGGCCTTTGCAAAGCCAATCCTCAATAATAACATTTTCTTTTTCTGTTTATTGTACTAGTCGAAAATCGCATTCGCCATAAGAGGACTGTAAAATCTAATGAGCTTTTACAAACACTGACTACTTAATAACTACAATATTATCAAACATACGAGCTAACTAGTTCGCCAATAATTAGGCTATGATTTTACATTGCAACCTAATCAAATTAACGAGACGATAATCCGTGATTATATCATACTAGCCATCTTTGGAATCAAAGTAATGAACGAGGAGTTACGCCCCTTAGGTATTTACAAAGTCCCCATTACGACCCCTTTCCCAGATAAAGAGTAAGTAAATTCCCAAATTATCATCTAAGCATAGGGTTCGATGATGCTCACCGTAGGGCCATAATATCGGCCCGTAAGGTTATAGTCCAAAACCATAGACCTTGCGATTTTTGACACTATCCTTATCACTATAAATGGACAAAACTCCATTTTGTCTAGGACTCACAACATTTAATCCCTAAGTTTCTCAAAGTTTTATCCATGAAATAACATTACCAAAAGTCCACATTTATGTCTCGACAAATTTAGGTAAGTTACTTGTTCACACATACTTAATCAAGATAGAATGGAAC